TTGATGATAAATTCGAGATAAAAAGGCGTAGATGAAACGGCAACAGGTTACGAAAGTGTGGAGAAATCGTAAGTGTAGATGAAGCGGCGTGTAACAAGAAACCGGAGAATATTTCTTTCGTCGACGCGGTTTCTTTTAATTGTAGATTCGTTCAGAGGGAAAGAATGCGGGTCTGCAACATTGTCACTGACGGAGAACATGTTTCGAGCCGCGAGCAAATATTCCATTGCATCGAGCGCCGCGTGCAAACAGTCCCCGCGAATGATCGACCTCACTTTGCACGCGCGCCTGTTCCTCCAACGTTTCATATGCATTGTGTTTTCGTGACGAACGTATTCTGCTCGGATCGCATCTCTTGAATCTATTATGCGCGACAGTTGCTTCACGCCGTGTCAGCTTTCTTGCTACACATCGTACGATGCTCGGTAATTGAAAAACACAGGTAGGGAATTTCTTATCGACAGAGCGCGGGAGTTTTAGGGATTTTTGATCGTAGGAAATTCGCAGCTGCAAAGATGCGCAGAATGCACGTAATATGCAGGAGGATGCTTCTTCAAAAATGGAATATAGAAATGTTCCAATTAGATCGATGATTTTTACGCTAAGCAGCAAAATTTGCTATCCGAGTTGCGTGCTTTTAATTCTATTCGCAACGATATGAATTTTCATAAATTTTATCGCAGTCTATCGGTTATTTACTACGACTTTTATCTTTCAAATGCGTATTCTACGACAAAATATTATCAAACAGCCTTTTGTCATGCTCCACTTAAGGATCACACGATCCATCCGTTGCAATATTTCATATTTCTTCCTTGTTTTCAAAGGCTGTTCTAATTTTTCTTCCAATTAACATGTACCTTCGTTCTTTTCCTCGAAGAAACTTTGTTTTGCCAGCAGTTCAAGAAAATCGGAAAGAGATTTAAGTAATTGCGGGGGTAAGACGCAGCCGGACGACGACGACAGCGCGACGTAGGGACCCGTTGACCTTTTGCGAGTTGCCACTTTGTAGACACCAGACTTTGAACTTTGCCTTGTATTCGGTTGGCAACTTGAGCAAAACCCGAATCCGACGGTGATCCAAGGGTGAGGACGCTTCGCTGCACTTCTGATTTAGTAGATCCGTGGCCACTGGGTCGGGGGTGGGGGTGTCTACTAGCTTAGAGGAGCTTACAGCGTGAGACGAGGAAGGAGCGTGAAGCGGGGGCCGTGAATTATCGGGTAAATTAAAGATTGTTAATATGCAACCTTTATTTATTTAAACAATCTCTTACAAAAATACGATCAATTACTTTCCTTAGTTTCGTGCTGTTTTTTCATGTTGTAAGTTAAACAATTACACTTTGATATTTAGTAGTTAAGAATAAAAGGAATTGCGTTGCATGTGATAACTGAGAATTATAGGAGAGTTTTAATTTTACAGTGGGCAGATTTCACGACAGATTTCATAGGTTTTCGTGTTTAATATCGTTTACGCGTCTATGTCATTCAAATGCAAATGGTGTCCCTTTGTTGTTACGATCAGCTTCTTATCTATCTTACGCTCATTAAATGTCATTCATTATTATTATTAGCTGATCACTCAAATGTTCAATGTCATATCTTTATAAATACGTTTAGAGCGATGGAATACAGATAGAAATTTATTTCATTCACTGTACCATAACAGGCGTTTTATTTCAGTTGCTCTTTTATTTGCAATTTTGTTTTGTTTTGCAAAATTGATTTGTTCAGTTTAAACAAGTTCAGACATTGTTTAATCCCTTGTACTTTAGCGAGTGAGACTCGCGATGAAGATTTTGGCCCAAACACGAATATCGCGTCTCACTCGCTACCAGATACTTGGCCAAACGTAAACATAAGAAGCCGAGCTGGCGAACTGTTTTTTTGCCCTTTACGATCGTGACCGAACGTTAGTTCTTGTTTACGAGCATCAGTTTGGTCCGTTTCGTCGAACTAAATGGCACGGAAAGGAGATAATATTTTCTAGCATCGTCTGGCTTATTTATGTTCTTTTATTTAACAAATACGTTTCTAGAAAAATTCAACGGTTCCAATAACAAGAAATATATTAGCTTGTCCAAAAAGTGTCTTTCTTTTACGGACACGTTTTTATCGTTGTACAAAGATGAAAGCTAATCTGTGGAACGTTGTGATCTTTATTTTGCTAGAACAAAATGGATCATACGTAGTTCGATGAAATAATATAAAATGGAAAACATTGTGCACTCGTTAGTTTCTTATAAAACGAAGGAAACTTTTCGAACGAACTAATAATATTTAATAAGTTGAAGCGTCCACTGTACACCGAACGTACCAGAAACACGTTCTCAGGACTCATAGTTTTTCGATTCCTTTGTGAAATCGTTGTCAATGTTTGCGTATATCTACGTCGTATAATATGACGACTGTTGGAAAAAGTTGTTCAGCCACGGCGCGTAGGGACGAAATATTCCAAGGAAATCCGTGCGGTGAAAATAGTCCGAGAAAGGAAACGGCGCGGCGGGACGAGCTGCCTAGAAAATGTTGCGTGAAAAACGCCGCGCGCACCTGTTTCCCTTCGATTTGCAGAAGAAAACGCCGCAAATCCGCGCTTCCCGCCACTACCACCTTGCAATTAGGATAATTAGCTGCAAGACCTGTCGAGGATTCGAGGAAATTCAGAGTCAGCCGAGGTGGTGAAATTTTTGTTGCAATTCTATGAAAATCGCGTCGCTCTCGTTACTTCGGAAAATAACCATCGTCCTCGTTTCGCTTTGGACTTCGTTTAGTTTCGAACGTTGATCGCCATACTAATCGAGTTATTCCTTAACGAAAGAAATTTCTGTGATCATGAATTTTGGTGGGACAAAAGTATTAAATTGATTATTTAATATTTTTTAATTTATAATATCAATATGGAAAATATTGGGAAAATATTGAACAAAATAGTTATAACATAATAGACATAGCGAAGAATTAATTTGCAATTTTATTAACTGATACTTCCTGGTCAACTAATAGTTAATTCACAATTTCAAATTATTTATAATTATTTACATATATACAGGGTGGTTGGTAACTGGTGGTACGAAGTCGAAAATATAGAATACAAATTTTTCGTTCGAGGCTTTGTTTTCGAGAAAATCCACTTTGAATTTTCGCTCGGTACGCCTGCACTTGTCACGTCTCGTTACAACGGACCACACTGTAGATCGTTGTCTCGATCTTTTAATTTTTTAAACTTTTATTCTATATTTTCGACTTCTTTTTTCGCGTAGAATCACCCTGTTACCAACCAACCACCCTGTATATATACTGTAACGTTAAAGAATCGTTCTCAATGTTCCACTCTATCGTTTCGATCTTTTTGCCTCCATCTTCTTCCTGTTGACGTTGAAGTCGTCTGTGAAATCGATCTCAGTCTTTGTTTCTTCGATATTCTCTCTCCTTCGTGTCTTTGTTCGTTTATCGACAGATACGCTCGATCTTCGAACAGAGCGCGTTATTATCGGCACCATCACATTTTAATGACACGTAATTTCGTGGCGGTGCTTCTTGGAACTATTTCTTCATTTAATTCCAAACGTCGGCTATGTTGTTTCGCAGGTTTCCGTTAATTCTGGGTTTGGCAACGTGTTGAGCAGAGGCTCCTTAATTCGAGCGCCCGCAGCGTGTAAGGACGTCCGTGAATTCCTTTTTCCGAAATTTCAAAAAAATAATCGCACGCGCCCATCTGCAAATTAATCCTCCTGCAACATTCCTCCGATATATGCGCACACGTGGATTGGATTAACATCGTTTCATGTTTCTACGAAATATGTTCAGGTTTCAGAAGGGTTTTCGATCTCATCCATGAAATTATAGAGCCAGCTTTATAGAGCCAGAAATTTATCACATTCTGATTTTTGTCTTTATTATGTAACCGAGATTCGGAGAATATCGTGCAAATATCTCTAGAACATCGATGTGGCAAGAAAATTCCATTAATGTGAAATAAGCTTGCAATGTACTTCCATCGAAACATAGTTTCTACGAGAAGCAAATAAAATAATTCAATAACGCCTAATGTAATGTTTTCTAAAAGCTACGTATTCTATGATCGAAACAAAAGAAAAAGATTTTTCTTTGCAATCGTTGTGTATCGAGTCCTCCATCCAACAATTGAGAAAACCTTCAAACTTGTTTAAATCGCCAATCTTATCGAGCTTGCAATTATATTCCAACTTTTGTTTAACGTCGTTCTCGATAAAAGTGCGAGAAAGTATGCAAATATAGAAGAAAAACAATCTTAAAAAAATCGTAATAAAATATTGCTCTCTTCGAGTATCCAATCTACCCCTATCGAAATACGTTCGTTTTCAACTCTTCCGTTCCATGAACGTGAAATCGGAAGAGCGAAACTCGCAGAACCTAACCTATATTCCGAGAAATATGAGAACGATGGAAGCCGTGGATAGAAGAGCGTCATATCGATCAAGTAAAACGAAAAGGGGAAAAGAGAAAGGAAGAAATAATAGAAACCATGGCCGTGAACAAGTCGAACGATTCTCTGCAATAGCACGCCGCGGGCCACCGATACACGCTTCAAAAAGCAATAAATATTTCAGCTAACCAGCGTCTATGTATATAAGGCGTGCTCGGCAAAAACGTTCCATTTATATCGTGGCACAACTTCAACACGATGTACCCGGCTCTTTCCGCCTCCCTTTCTCGTTGACCTGTTCGCGTGTGTGTCGTATACGCATTGATACGTGCAGCGGGGCTCCTTACGGTTTACGAGCTGCTGCCATGATTTATCGCGGTCGGCTAGTGCCGCGAGGATCATTAGAAACGTAACTTGAGACCGCGAAACGTCGATCGGGTCGGTGATCCTGCACGCTACGACGGTTTATTGATTTTGCTCGCTTCGACACCCTTTCAAATTCGTTCGTCAGTTCACGAGATGATCTTTTTACGAGCTGTGAATTGCACATCAGGTATATACACGGAGGTACATATCAGAGAAATATGAGGCAAAAGAGGAACCCAAGATTCCTCCGTATAGAATAGAAATACGTTTGTGGAATTTTCTCGTTTTTTGTAGGATAGACAATTTATAAATGCGTTAATTTTCCACGAATATGTTTAAGGAAGCATTACGTGAGTCATTCCACAGGTCTCCCTTCCTTTGTTAATGGACTTGGCATGTAGGTTATCGATAAAGATTAATATTATCAGGGAAATTTTAAGTTGTCGATAATGAAGTCGTTCTGTTAGACAAACCAAGAGTAAAAGGCCACTTCGGCTACAACAATTTCTGCATTTTTTAAACACGAAATAGGAATATCAAATAAGACCGACAGTGTATGAAATGTAAATTGTATTTAGCCGTTTCCAATTCACAATTTTAAACCGTAACATTCTATTCGAAGCTAATGATATTACGACCACCGGAATCGTTGAATTTTCCCAACGAGTGATCACATTGGACGCTTCAGACGCTCTAATCGCTACCGACGGTCCACCGTATATCGGTTCTTCGCTGCGACAAATTTCCCCGCTGCATTCTTGCCACGTCATGAACCCCATCCATAGTACACGGGTGTTTTCCAGACGCTCTCGTCGAGCATCGTAGGAGGGACGCGCCGGTTATCTCTCACGGCCTTCCGATTTAATTAAGCACGGTTTCAGCTCGAGCCAGGAACTTTCGATATTAGGCCCGGCTCGCTCGTATCTATCGGGTCGAGCGAGCAAACTCTAACTCCCCTTCTGGGCGGTATATACCTACCGGTGGTGCACACGGTTCGTGGCGTTCTCACACGCATACAGACGCACACTAATAGAAGACACGCACACAGAAGAGGTAGGCACGCGGTACCCGTGGCGTGTGTGTATGCGATCTCGTTTCCAAAGTCCGAGAGTAGGCAGCGGGGCGAAGCCAGCCGGCCTTTGTTCACGGCGTTGAATCTACCGGGCTTTCAACCCCCTACTACCCTATCCGGTAACCCTCCGTCGGACGCTGAGCATCGCGACGCCTCCTCTTCCCACACTCCTCTTTTCTAGGCTCCGCTACGTACAGCCCTCGCCCTTCCTCCCCTTCCACGTCTCTTGCGGCTCCGCCACGACCTTTGTGCTCTTGTCAACTTGTCAAACTACCCCTACCGTGAGCTTCGCCGAGGCAGCATCCAATACCAACCCCTGAACCAACCACTCCGCCGAATCCTCGCTTCTCACCCTGCCCCATCGCAGCTACTCCTCCCAATATCTTCCTTTTCTTGCTTGCTGGCCACTCTATCGGTTTTCTCTGTCTCTTCCTCTCCCCTTTCTGTGTTCCATGCTCCTTTCTATCTGTCATGCGACAGCCGGACAAGCTACCGGAAACGTATTTCCTACGGGCAAGACACGGACAGAAGCCTGTCTATAGTGGAATAGAGGGTAGTAGACCCTAGTTCGGTTTTCTTTCGATTATTGCCGGTTCCTTTGGGATAGGCCACTTCGTTGCTAGTTAGTGTAAGGGACGTCGCAGGGTGGTCTGATCTTTCGTGGAGTTTCTCCGGGGGATGAGATACCTGAGTTTATCTCGTGGAGATGTAGTTGGCAGGATGGATACCTGGAATGAAATCGTAAATTCTAGTGTCAAATGCTAACGCTTATTGATAGTCCATGTAAAGTGGAAATCGTGTAGAAATTCTTTGAGTTTTAGGTTGCAGAAAATTTCTCCCAAAATTCTAACATACCTTTCAGTCTGAGTTTCATCAATTTTTCAAAACAAGGGAGAAAAATTACCTTTCCTTTTGATAACTTGGTGAAAAAATTGGTTAATTAAATCAAGTTGAATTTTATACAACAATTGCCTCTATTTGTATGCTCTTCACTGTACATAGATCTCACATTGATGATCAATACACATTTGTTCTCTGTATTCCTCTTTCATCAGTCCAATAAACAATAAAATATTATAAAATATTTAGATGTTAGTTATTTCGTTTATACGCCAAATTTGTATATTTTTATTTATCATTGCACGTTGCAAGTTTCACGGAGGACCATGAAATGTTCTGCGACCCTACGGTGTTTCCCTTCGACGAAATTCGATCTGAATGTTAAAGCGCGCTCTCGTTCCAACGCGATTCAAGATAGCCAGCTCACCATTTGCTAATTATACCTGTTAATTGTATAATATCTGTAGCCAGGCAGCAATGTGTACAAGAGTGTTGTACGCATACCGTTACACTGAACACGAGCGCGACATATGTAAGAGTTAAATGTTACCTCTGCGCCGGACATTTGCGCGATTATCGTGGCGCGATATCTCTGGCTCGTCCGTCGCTGTATAGAAGTTTGCCACAACCAGCGAAATTTGCATTTACTTATTTTGCAACAATGTATCCTCTTTTTTTCTATTTTTTTTTTCTTTCTTACAATGATCGAACGTGATTCTTATTGCGTGTAAATTTGATGAGATTGGCAACGCTATAAATACAGCGATTTGTTTTCATGTTTTATTAATCGTGCATGATCTTGAAAATTGCGCGAGAATTGAAAATAACGAAGGACAGCTTGTAGAGAATTGTCGATGATTGCAGGTTCTTGTTACTCTTGACAAGTCGTGGCAAAGTGAAGAAAATGTCGATGTCTCTTTGATGTGAATTGTACCACAGTTTTATCGGTTTAAGTTTAAGTGTAGTAAATTTAAGTTAATGGACGACAATTAAAGGTAAACTGTCTCATATCTCTGTAAATTTCTGGGGAACGACGTTGCAGCAAGGAAACATTAGATAAGATGGAATGTAGTTAATCCTTATGCAAGTAACTAAAATGTTAAGCTTGAAAATGTAATATTTCACGCTTGTATTTATAAACATAAAAGGTAACTCGGGTTTTTAGTTGTGCATACTAGGATTAATATTGCTATACGCTCTTCTTCATTAACTACAAATTCCTCTCTTTCATGTTTCCAATTCAAGCTTCTTACAATAACAACATATATAAGTGTAGAAGGTATAATTACTTCAACAAAAACTCTACACATTTTCTTTTGAATGCCCGTGACCTGCAGACACTGTTACAAACAGAATAGAATTTAGTGAAGCAAAAAGATTCAAAATAAGGAGGTGCATATTATTGTAACCTTGTTACAAGGTCTAGAAACAAAACAGCTATAAGTAGATTTCCATTGCTGTTCCTTGTAACCTTCAGCTACAGCTGCACAACAAAGTTAACATTTTGGTAATGTCTTTTGCTATAAATATATCAACGTGCTCCCTGTTACATTCTTTTGTATTGTAACACTGAAGGAGTGAGGATCTGGATCAACATACACCATACCTGTACTTGTATTTATTTCAATATATTTTTCTATTACAAATTCATCCACTGGTTCCTCTATCAGTCAATCTCAACAATATCACACATTAAATTAATAAATAATGACAACAATTTATTTCATTTTGATCTCATATACTGTACCTGCACTTGTACTTATTTCAATATATTTTTCTATTACAAATTCTTCCACTGGTTCCTCTATCAGTCAATCTCAACAATATCACACATTAAATTAATAAATAATGACAATTTATTTAATTTTGATTTCATATACTGTACCTGTACTTGTACTTATTTCAATACATTTTTCTATTACAAATTCATCCACTGGTTCCTCTATCAGTCAATCTCAACAATATCACACATTAAATTAATAAATAATGACAACAATTTATTTCATTTTGATCTCATATACTGTACCTGCACTTGTACTTATTTCAATATATTTTTTACTGTACCTGTACTTGCACTTATTTCAATACATTTTTCTATTACAAATTTATCCACTTGCTTGACTGTCAGTCAACCTCAACAATATCACACATTAAATCAATAAATAACGACAACAATTTATTTAATTTTGATCTCATACACTGTACCTATACTTGTACTTATTTCAATACATTTTTCTATTACAAATTCATCCACTGGTTCCTCTATCAGGAATCTAACCTACCAACCTAACCTAACCTCAACAAGATTATTATCGCTATACGTTCTTCTTCATCTGCTACAAATTCCTCTCTTTCATATTTCCAATTCAAATTTCTTACAACAACGACATATATAAGAAACAATGATACATTGTTCCCTGTATAACAAAACGAATATGAAACTTCAATATCCGATGAAACTCGTAAACAAAGTTAGAAAGCAAATCACGTGTAATACGTAATTAGCCATTTCTTATATTATTCACGCTTCACGCGATTCCCCTCTAAGGGTGAGTGGTGCAATTTTTCCAGAGCATAGAGGCGTGTTAATTCGGGAAAAAATCGCATCGTCGTTCCCTGAACGCGACATAAATTAACTCCGGGGTAATTATTTCAAAGTCAAGGCAGCTGGACGGCCTGGGGGATGGAGATAGGGATGGGTTGAAGCCGTAGCATGAAAAGGTGGTGGAGGAGGCGGGGTGGAACTGTTGGAATTTTTGACTCACCTTGTACAAGCTGTCTGTGCCGAGAGGCGAAGGAGACATACGGTGAGCGAAACTCTGGAGAACCGGGGTGAGACCGTGCAACGTTTCGGCCGAGCGAACCCGCGGCTTGATTTATAGGGTGGCGTCAAAACTTTCCACTCTCCGTCGTGTCTCGCCGCTCTTATAGGTACCCCCTCGCGCGTTCGCGACGAAATAAAGGCTCACCGTGGTAATTTCGACCTCGTTGCCGACGCTCTCAGCGAAGACACGCGTCCCTCGCTCTTTGTCACGTTCAGTCGTTCTTTCGCATTAACTTTGCATCGATCTATGCATTGATTATTGTTGAAGTAATTAATTGAAGAAAAACTCTACATCTTTATTTGTGTATATCCGTGACCTGGAGACAGCTATTACGCAGAAAATAGAATTTAGTAAAACAAAAATATTGTAAATAGGGAGAGGTGCATATTATTGTAGTCTTGAATATAAATTATGTTTTGGGTTACAAGGTGTGGAAACAAAAGAACTATAAGCAGATTTTTATTGCTGTTTCTTGTAGCTACAGCTACTCACCAAGGTTAACTTTTTGGTAATGTACTTTCCTATAAATATATGAACGTCCCTGTCATAGCTTCTTCTATTGTATTGTAACGCTGTAAGAGTGAGGATCTGGATCAACATACACTATACCTGTACTTATACTTATTTCAATATATTTTTCTATTACAAATTCATCCACTGGTTCCTCTATCAGTCAGCCTGAACAATATCACACGTTAAATTAATAAATAATGACAACAATTTACTTAATTTTGATCTCATATACTGTACCTGCACTTGTACTTATTTCAATACATTTTTCTATTACAAATTCATTCACTGGTTCCTCTATCAGTCAACCTGAACAATGTCACACGTTAAATTAATAAATAATGACAACAATTTATTTAATTTTGATCTCATATACTGTACCTGCACTTGTACTTATTTCAACACATTTTTCTATTACAAATTCATCCACTTGTTCTTCTACAAGTTAACCTCAACAGCTACAATTCATTCACTTGTTCTTCTACAAGTTAACCTCAACAGCTACCTTTGTTATTTTAATGTATGATTGTCTGGTTAGCTGAGATGAAGTTGGTTCATAAAATAAAAACACAAAAATTGTCCTTGTCTCAATATCCAGAGTATCCACGGTTACTTGGGATCCTAAAAAATCAAATATAAAATTCCAAACTTAAACAATTTTGCACAACGCTTATTTCATTAAACTTTCATTCTACCACTAATTATTTTTATTTATTTCCCTTTTATTTTATATTATCGATTAGCTACTCTCGTTAATGTCTAATCGCGTTTGATTAATAAATTCAATTTTATTATAAACATATAGTTGGATATTCTCTGCGATTTCAAGTATCTATCTACCTGTTGGTAGTCAATTTTTCAGCTTATCGCCGGGGATACGAGGATTTCATTGTATCGAACGAGCAGTTAGGAAATCTTCGTGGAAATGATTAGGAAGTGAAATCTGTCGGGGCACCATTGTTCCAGATGTTACGTTCTTCCTCGATAATTATTCTTCCCGAGGAAGGTGCTTCCTAATGGAAGGTTCGAGTGTCGGCAATAAGGATGAGTAAACGTTAAGGTTACGCGTAACGAAAGGTGTATAGTGTTTTGAAAAAGTATTAGGGCCTTTGTATAGACCCTGTCCCGTCGGTTAACCACGCGCTCATAAATTATCAATTATCGCACCCTTTCGACTTGTCCCTGTGGAAACCAGCTATCTTGAATCATGAATTTTGATTAGCAATTTTAAATTACCACAACAACCACTGCGAATTCTATCAACTCGAAAAGATCGAATGGAATCAATTAATAATGAAATTCAAACATGGTTCTACGGCATATTTTTGTCAAGATTGAACGAACGATAAAGTACGGTTCCTACAGTCCTTGACGACCGTCCACTATACACAGGTTGTTGATATTCCAGCAGAAAGCGATAGAATGTCGAGCACAAAAAAGCCCGTTTGGTGTTCGGCAGTTAGTGTAACTTAATAGTCCACTTATCTTATCTGACGTTCACAAATATCTTCAATTTGTACGTAATATGAGAAAAATCGGAATTTATGTTAAACCAGTTCTTGGAACAATACAGTTCTCGTCGTTTGCTAAAATGTGAACAATATTGAAATATAAAAATTCGAGAATCGTAACAGGGTTAAAATTTCAACACTCGTTCGAGGTTTCCATTTAATTACGTCGTTGAGTCCTTTTCAAATTTTTCTGACGTAATCTCAAGACTTCCATCTTCCTATTGACGTCTGCTTGTCTAAGCAAATATGCCTTTAACGTACATTATTTCAGCCATTCGAGTTTGCATATGTAAACGTTCGGATACTTTCGTCAGCCACTGTATTTATTTTTCCTTTCTTAAAATTGCCAATCTCCCGGCGCACTTTTAACGCTTAGAACTACCGATAGTTAACACGAAGCTATTTTTACCAAAACCAGTAAAAACGACTGGTCTTTAAAAAATACCTAATGATAGAATATTTGTATATTTATTGATTTATTTTTCTTGCAGAAGCAATTCCACGTTATGTGGTACATTTTTGATATTATTAATCCATCTGGGGCCATCGTCCCTAAACGAGGGTCCACACGTTTATAAAATCGTAGAACCAGTCGTTTCGACTACCGCGGTATTTCTAGCGTTAGCATCTAGCGATCTAGCGATGGATCCGGAATTTTCCTGGTAATTGATATCGTCGTATCGAACGATTCGCGGTAAAAATTTTAAAACGAGTGGCGAGTTGTACGAAACGAGGAAACTGGTTAATTGGGGTTAGATAAACAGATAGCGGGACCCTTTTACACTTTGACAAGTACCGGTCATTTTGATTAGTATTGGTACAAGTAGCCTCGATACAAAATCATTTTCAGTATGAATACATAAAAAGGAAATTTAAATTCTTTATATTATTCTTTTAGTTATCGTTGCGAAAGTCATTACATCATTACAGAAAAAAAATATGGCGTGGTAGTTCTAGTGTTAATTCTCCGTTTATTACAGCAATTCCACGGTTTAAAACAGTGCCTCGTTGTCGCTCTTGTTCCCGTGACTTTATGCTGCCAGAGGTTCCCTTAATTCGCCTACTATCTCGCTGCGACTTTTAAAGTTCATCCAGGAAACTTTCATTGCTTCTTGATGGACCATGAGATAGTACGAGGTGTCCCCCTCAGACACGGTTATTAACAAAGTGGAATCTAGATCTTGTGGAATCTTGCCGGCGACTTTTAACCTCGTCAGCCAGGTGAAACTTAACATTCTCAGGAAACGCCGCTTTTTATTTGTGTACGCAATGTCAGTGCTCGAGATCCTATCGGCTTTGGCTTTCACGCGCAAACGAAGTCACGCGCGTCGTTTAGTAGTTTTTGTGTCGAAACATCTTGATCTGTCATGTGAATAAATTATCGTTAGAAAAGTTAAAAATTAATTTGAAATTCATCTTTGAAAGTATCGATAATATAAATGTTACCAAATAATTCTTCAATTTGCAAGCTTATTTGCCCTTTCACAAGCTTTTTAATTTCCGAGAAAAATTAGTTTTTTATCCAGTGCTAATAATAAACAGACATTTTTCCAGGAAGTTGCGCAAGAAAATCATTGCACTGAAACCCATTATGACTTTCGCCAAAGATCAATATACTTGTCGTTTAGTTAATTGCTTAATTACCTACTGAAATACAATGTTGCGTATATGTACGCGACATCTTACGGGCAAAAGTTCAACCTCGACAAGAGAATATTGCGACGCCGGCGAGCGTATCTTCTAAGAAAGTGAAATAAAAGATTTGAGGAACAACGAGTGTAAATAAATTTCTGTGTCTAATCCGAATATTAAAGGTTCACTGTCAGCTAAACGACCTCGTTTCTTTCGACTGTGATAAAAATGTCGTAGCTGCAATTCTGTTGGTTATCTCGTGACGAGATAAAACGGACTAGATCACGTGAAACAGTTTAACGAGAGCAGCTTTAATTTCTCCTGATTTTTCAAGAAACCATTGACCCTCGAGTCAAAACGTGCCGGGGTCGAAAAGAGAAAGCTGACTGCCCTAAATTTCATGGGTCGTAGAGAAAAAAGTTTTCACGAAAAAATGTGAAAGTTGGGTTCGTTGCGATTCTCCTAGGCTTTTCAACGCTTTGCCACCAACGTGACAGGAAGTAAATGGCAACGCTGGATGTTAGGCACCCCGTTGCGAGGACGACGCGCAAAATTCGAGCGATCTACTTTGAGAATTCTCGGTGCTCCCTCGCTCTTCTCTTCTCTTCTCTCGATTTCTCTTCCCTCTGTTTACTGTTTTTGCGTTACGAACCAAGTCGACCTGTGACCATTGAAATCGATATAACGTAGATCTTGACGTTTCTACAGTTACGGCCGAGTCGACGCAGCTGCTTATTTTAGAAATTCATCGTCGAAAGTAAAGAGCGTGTAAAAGTTATTGTTGCCATAAAAAACTCGTTATATTTTTTGGCTTTCGTTTTAACTGTAATCTTCTTATCGATCGGTATCTCTTCCTTTGGCGAGAAAGCTTTTTCGTGTAAAGATACTTGATATTTGTAAGTGGAAAGTAGTCACGCGAAGCTATCAGGCGTGAAATGTAGCTAAATAATTTTGCAGCTAATCAAACTTTCGAATTTATGCAAACAAAATTTTGTTTCCATGCTCGAACTGATTATCTCTCTTCGGTCTGGCGTTTAGCTATCTTTCTGATGTTCTCATTTAATTCAAGGATGATGTTCGGCGATTAAAATGGCCGAGGAAATTAGCACGATTCCGAATAGGATTATTCGTCGCGTTTCTACGATTGCCTTTCGATTTAACGAGGCCAATCGAGATGATTCGAGTAAATTACGTCCGAAAATCCGCTCTATTTATCGCTCTATACTTTCCGAAGCTTCTACTCGTCGTCCGTCGCGTCGAATAAATTACAGCGATTGGTCGTAGGAGACGCATTATTCATCGTATCGAGTTTCGCCAGAACGTGTCCATATTTGTGATAATTTCAACACGTTTCACGAGCTGATATATATTAAAATATTTCGTCCAGTCACATCTGCTTACGGGATACAACGTCATACGTTATGTGTCATCGGCGAAGCAAAGACGTTTGCCTCTGCATTTATTATATTCGTGCGAAATCCGCTCGTCGATTGCATCACGTTCGCCAACGCCATGTTCATATTCAATTGTCGAAAGCGGAAAAACGATTGTTTCAATGGCGTCGCAGGCGGGAGAAGTTTTTTAACACGTCGAATGCGACGGTG